CTCAAAAACTCTGATTGTGCATGATACTGAGTTCCTTGAAAGACAGCTGGGGGAGATCTGTATGGAAGTATTTGATGTCTTGCAAAAAAGAAAAGATGACCAGATGCTAATGAGAAAGGTGGTAAGTGATGCCTGGTGGTTTAAAACCACTGATTTCCAAAGCATATAGCAGAATGAGAGTCCTAGACAGAATTCAGACTCCACTGCTCTGCTCCCCTTCCAGGCACTGCGACTGAGGCTGCTGAGCTGATGGACAGGACTTGTGTCACTGCCATCAGTATTGTCCAAACACAGGCAGGAGTAAAACCCACCCAGGACACCTGCACTGAGTAAACCCCTGGAGACTGCTCATGTGTGAATAAACACCATGACCATTTAATTATTTCAGTTCCTAGTGATCCTAGATTTGGTTACAGAAAATGAAGGACCATTTTCCTTAGTGACACATCACAGCAGATATATAAAAAAGCAAAAATTGCACTTGGGACTTAAGAGCAATTGACATGCTCTTAAATACATATGTTTCTTTTTTTTTCCTGCTCTCTAATGAGTTTATAATTTAATCAGGGAAACTGCTAGATTCCCTCCAAATACTAGTGAAAATCTCAAAGGAGAAAAGCTGCTTATGCAAGTGTTCCTGTAAAACAAAGAGTATTCAAGTATGGTAAATTATACTAGAGTCAAGAGTGGTATTCAGTTATCTCCTTAAAAGCTTGAAGCCTACATATCTTAATATTGATGGTCTGGTTCTGAGCTGAACATCAATGAAAACATTTTCTATTACAAATAAAACGACAGCATTTCTATATATTATCACTTCCCTAGGGCAAAGTTCTGCTTTTGGGACATTATCATATAGCGTTGCCAAGTGTATGACAGGGTAATATAGAGAGTTACTCCAATTAATCCATCCACAGACTGCATCTGCAGAATAAGCCAGAGGATGGGGCCCAGTAGAGCCCAGCCTGTCTGGTGGAACCTCCTGCCTGAAGCTGCAGGGTGAGCTCCCACTCAGGGCAAGTAGAGTCACCCGCCCCAAATGCATCCCCACCCCAAATCCACCACAGCCTCAGAAGCAGTTCAGGCTCACAGCTGGCAGAATGGACGGGCTGACCAAGAAGACAAAAAAGTCCCAAACCCCTAAGTAGCAAATATTTTTCCTTCAGATTAATTCATTCGGATGCTGAGACGGATTTAAATTTAGAAGAGATAATGTGAGAGCAAAGAACTGTTAAAACTGAGGTTACTTTTCATTTGTGTACTGAGAGTTAGAGGTTTCTATTGCAGCTGGAACTGCAACTGCAGCTGAGACGCGCTCAGAAAACCCCGGGGCTTAAATACAGAAGCTTCAAGGCGAGAAGGGTATAAAAATAAATTCCAAAGGGCTTAATAACATTGTGCAGAGACTGGATATTCTGGTGTCAGAAAGAAACTGGTGGCTCTTAGATCAAAACCTAATCATTCAAAAGCAATAAGAGCCTTTGTTTTACCCAGCCAGTCATTCTGTTACCCACTGGGACCGTGGCTTTTACAAGCATCCCGAATTACAGTTAATTTGCAGTGTATAAATGTACATGTCACTGACAATATAACAGAGCGAAAAATACTTTAAAATTAACATGGTTAAACCTTCAGCAGTCTGATGCAAAATCTCCTAGGAACCTTTAGCTTGACTTCAAAGGAATTATTATCAGCATTTTCGTGAACTTCTCCTACAAAAATAAGTTTAAAACTGGGAGCCGTACCTCACAGCTTACTGACAGGACTGTCCTTCAAAAGGAACTGAAGACAGGCAGAGCCTGCAGACAGGTCAGGCCACCTCTGCAGGCAGCACAGTGAAAGAAACCTTCCTGGGGCTGCAGCACAGGAGCACCCTCTGATCCTCTGCAGCAAGGCCAGACGAGGGGAAAATGTCTGCTCTTTCTTAGCTTCCTATCCCAGAAGACTTTATTTATGCATTAGCCGACCTTTCTAGCTGTTAGGACCATCTTGCTTCAGCAGTTAATTAACACAAGTGCCATAATTTAATACAGTTAATGCTACTTTATGCCCTTTAATGTACCTTCCATTAGTGATATTATTGTAGTATTACCCTGTAAATTAAAATAAGATCAAGAAAAAGAGAGGCTCTCTTTAATTAAGGTACTGGCACACTGCATTGTCCATTATTCACTGGAAAAAATCGCCCTGATTTAGTGAAGCAGACCATCAGTAAGTCAGAATTAGTCCATGTGGATTATTAGGTTTCTTGAATAATGGGAGCACAATAGGGTTGCTGAAATTGCTAACAGCCATGTTTCCTTTTTTTCATCTCCTTAATAAATACAAAATGGAAGTGGTAAATTGAAGAATAAACAGGTGGTAATAGAGGAGGAAAGGCATTCATTGAGACTACACAAGTTTTCATCTCTAATGCAACATACATCAGGCTTATTTCACACCAAAATGCAAAACAACAACAAAACAAACCTATATTAAGTGGACAAATCTCCTACCTGTAATTCATTGTGAAGTATCAACCACCACAGTATTCTGTATATTTAACATTGTGGCTTTAAGATAGATGCTTTTCACTGTCATTGATGCTCAGAACACAGTGTGAAACAAATTACATTTTATGCTGCCTTTAGACATATGCTATTGTGAGCTTTGGTGATTTTAACTATACTTGACCTACAGGTTATGTTTTGCAGATAAAGGACTAGTTTTAAAGTGTGTCTGCCAGCATCCCTCATCCCCTACATGTCAAGCTCCTTGGTAACCTCTCTTTGTATTCCATCTTCATGGAATAATCTAGTCTAGTTTTACCAAATTTATATAAATAGCTGGGTCTCAAAGCCCAGAATATGAATCTTGTTAGCAAAAGAAAATAATTTTGTAACAATTTCCAGTTAACATTCTAAATTAAGGAACAAGAGCTGGAATGTTCAGCTGAACTGGAAACAGTGGCACAACTACCGTGGTAACCCTTGCTTCCCTCCACTGGCTCCCATGCTCAGGGCATGCCAGGGCACAGGCTGGGAATGTTGATTGGGAGACTCAGGTGGGGAGAGGCCATAGGGTTTCTGGAAGAGACAAAAAGTACCTAAAACCAGGTAACAGTGGATGTATTGCAAGTTACAACTGGTGCAACTAAACAGCCAGGGGCTGTGTATTGCAGCCCCACAGCTACTCAGCAGCAAGCAAGCCCTAAAGACTTTAACAAGGAAGGCTCACAAGATATTGAAGGAAATGGCACCAAATCCCAAAAGAGCTGTTCTTCTCATTAGGAGAAAAGTGATAAGAATTCACATGAATCTAATCTAGTGAGGTACTATTACACATCAGATACTTCTTTTAAAGCACGTGTCCAATTACTGCAGCATTTAGACAACAAGCATCAGCATCAGATAAGCTCTCTGTACAGTCATGCTGCATTTCTATAGATAATTTTTCACAAGATTGGTGAGCCCCAGATGTGCTCAGAAGGTTTCTGTTTCTAATTTGCATGCAATGCACTCTTTTTTAATCCCTCAGATGCTTTCTTTGATAAAGTAATGATAATGTAATTGAAGTCAGACTAAGCTCCAAATGGGTTTTCAGACAGGGGAAGAGTCTTTCCTTAAAGCCTAAGGACCTACAAATCCTGAGCTTTGATATGATGCCTTAGTAGAGCTAACCTATGTGGAGCCCAGTGGAGAAAATATACACATTAAATAGGTGTTATTTTTTATAGTGAGGCTAATTGTACCAAAGTATTTCAAACAATATCTTAAGCTGTTCATGATCCACTTAGCCGTCCCAAGAGACTTCTGAAAAATAATTTAAAATGTAACTAATGAGCATTGCAAGAAGAATTCTTAAAACAGCAACATTTATTTTAAATTTTCAAATGTTGGACTAATAATTCTCTATGTATGGATATATAGTTGGTGTGGACACAGAAGACTGTAACTGCATATTAAATCTCCAGTCCTAAGAAATATATTTTGATGACTTTGATTTTATAACAGGAATAATAAAAATATAGCCAGCACTGTTTTATATAATCACTGTTGCTATTTTTTTTCACTCAGTTCTGAGTCTGCAAAGTCCCTGGCCTTTCAAGATAGATTAGCTTTTCTGTTTGTTTTGATACTTAGATTCTCGTAAAGAAAAAAAGTTTTTTAAACAAGAAGTCTTAAATCCTGTCTAGGAGAAACAGAGAGGGAAGAAATATTAGATGGTGAGTGAATTGCTAATGGAGGTGATCCCACTTATTTCTTCTGAACAACTTGGCATCCAAGACCCATACAAAGGGATCACCCTCCTGCTCCAGGGCATCAGTCAATTGCTAGTTTGAGTTGGGAATAAAATTTCCTGATAGGAATGTCACTGCAGTTATTATTTCTGGGACTACAGCACTTGATACCAGTCACTGCTTGCCCTAGAGGGAAGCATTTGTCTTGAACCCAGCTGAATAATCATCTTTGTTATATTCAAATCAGTCTATCTAAAACACTGCTGGGTTTTTTCCATTTTAATTCAGCTTCTCTGCATTTCAGAGCTAATTAAAATACAAGGAATGGCCTCTAATCTCTGCTGTTTTTCTTGTTCACAGCCAGACCTAGTGGGAAGGGTTTGTGCAAGGGCTGCTGTATCAATCACAGCTCACATTAGAGGCCTGGAAAGGTCAAACAATAAAACAAAATCTCTATTTTCAGTTAGTGCCACTGGATCAGACTCCAACTACATAAGAGAAGAAAGTGTCCCACAGCTAGGGTGAATTCCTGAGCCAACACATGAACCAGTGCCATCCTGCCTGTGAGACCCGGGGCTCAAGATCCAAGGTGAGTGCCAGTGAACACCCAGACCTTGTGCCACGGAGTCAGAAACTTCAGGTATGACAGCAATGCCCTTCAGCTGAGCCAGATTTCCAATGAACATTGGCAGAAAATATCTTGTTTGGGGAAATAAGCAGTTTTGAGTACCTTCTCAAATCAAACACATATGTCTGTTTCTAAAGTTATATATTCTCTTACCTTCCATATACCCTTATGTCTGAAATTGCATAAAAGTAGCGTGCCAGATGTTGCTCATCTACATATATTTCACCAGTTGCTGGCCTAAGCAGTCTTATCCTCAGATCTGTGATGGTAAAGAAATCTCTTAACTTCTTGGTGGTGTCGAGCTGACCATAAAGAGAAGCCATGTTATGAAGTCGAGGTCCAGCAAAAAAAGCAAATCTATCTTTGATTTCGAAGTGGATTATTTTACTATTTGTCATGTACCCAGTAGAGTATTCCTCTGTGCAAATGATTTCTAGGACTGTGTGCTGTGATAAATCCCTCACTGATTTTGGATCCATGTGAAAAGCATCTAAACAGTCCGTGGCATAGTATTGATAGGGCTGCCACGTTCGTCCATAGTCGAGTGATTTCTCCAGGATCATTTGGTCTGGACGGCCAGATTCAAAGGTGATAACTATGTTATCTGTGAGCTCAATGGTTTTGTTCCAGGAGAGTGTAATATTAACATGAAGAGGCTTCGGATAGTCCTTCCAAGTTGTGGACTGCCAAAATGTGGAGGGATGTCTTCCTTCCAGATCAAACATCAGCTCTGGAGGATGAGCCAGTTCTTGGGTACTCGCATCACATTCATTATTGCACATGTAGGGATTCCCCTGGAAAAGAGCAAACCAGTGTTACAAGGGGCACCACACAGGTGAGTGTGACACATAAGATGTTTTTTGACTGAGGACTGCTTTTCTCCAGGATGGAAATGAAGAAACAAATTTTAGTATAAAATTTAATATGCAAGTGATAACTTTATCTTAATGAGATTCATCCTGGCTATTTTACCTCTTAAAGTAAATGTACAAACACAACATAGAGAAAACCCTTGTTTCTGTAATATAAACATTTTTCTTATTATATGTTAAAGAAAAGTAAAAGCTTATAATGAATAACTTGGACCAGGGATTGAGTCACAGAAGATTAAGAACAGTATGCAAGTCTCTAATAGCTCAATAACTCCAACTCTTCTTAGAAAGATGCAGCAGCCAAAGCGAATTTCTTTTTGAAACAAGCATGTTCCTCAGAGCTCTGCCCAAAAAAGAACTAATTTGTAGGGCAAGTGTATTTCCTTAGCAGTGCAGCCTGTGTGTACTCAGTATGAGCCAGTATTCTGTACACTTTCAAGTTTCCTTTCACCCAGGTGGGAAATTTATCATGTTTAACTTGTGTTCCCAGCTCAACACTGCCTTGCCTTAAAACATTTACACTTGCTACCAAAAGCCATTAGAAAAACAGTGCTCTGTCAGCTCTGGGACTTGATTCAGGTATCTGCCATCTTATTACAGGGTACCAAAGTACTTCAGAAAAGACTTTTCATGAGGCACCAGGTTCAATTTATCAGGACAAGATAATCCAGCACTTGATTAGGTGGGAGATGTCAGTGGCTCCAGCTGGAACACTGCCGAGGTGGCTGGAGCTCTGAACTGAGGGTTGAGTTAAAAACAGCAACAAAAAAAGGCTTGCCTACAGTGCACAGCTTTTACTGCTGCTTGTCCTCTGAAGCAAGGTGAAAGTGAGTTATTCTTTTTCTGGTCTTTTGATGCATTAACTTTCACACTACAGTCTTCTGCTTCTTCACAAAGGCTATTTTGTCTGCATATTGGGGATATCTTGCTGCAGTTGTACAAGATATCAGACCCTGTAGGCTGCACTGAATCACATATATCTAATTTCAGCTTTCAACAGTACATTAGTATTTTGCTACTTGTTCATTCTATGTTTGTTCCAGAGAGGAACTGCTGTTCTGTATCCTTCCCTCTGTCTGACGCTCAGGTTGTGGAAGAAGCCTCTATTCACTGATAGTCAGCACTGCTGGGGAAAAATATGCACATACCTATACCTAGCAGAGCTCGATGAGGTCATTAATGTAGCTCTTATTGTCATTAATCAGAGCTCCTGCACCTGCCCTGAGAAGAGAACGAGCCCTGGCATGCTGATCAACCTTTTATTTTCTTATAATTGCAGTTATACTTCTCTCTGTCTCAAAGCCTGAGGGCAATGAAGGGACTCAATGCTATCCAGTGTGGAAAACAGGTTTCAAACATGAGTTTCCACCCTGGCCACTGCTCTGCTCCTTGATATACTCCCATGAAACACAAGAAAAAGAACTTCTGCACTCACTTCGACCTCCCCACTGGCAACCTCCTCTTACCTGGGCTAGAAAATACTATTTTCTTTCTCTGTCTTTCTTGTTACTACAGCTGAATGTTAAAACTGACAACGATTCACTGGGACTGGAAGTCAGGAATAAAAAAAACTACAACACAACAAAAAGGGTTAGTTGAGAACCAGCATGCTGCTTGTTACACTGACAGCTTCAAAGCATGCAGCTGTAACTGGAAATATTCTGCAAAATATTGTCTATAATCTGTTATAGCTCTGATTTCAAGCTCATGGATGCTATTTCTATGCCTTCCTTTTGAATAAAACAGTGAAAATTAAAAGTAAGTTTCAAGCAGAAGAGAGAAAACACAGAATTTTTTAATATTTAAGTTCCATTTAATATATCAGATACAAATGCCAGAATTTGCTAACTTACACAGGCCTATTTTCCTCAGGGGAAATATACATATTGTGAAATGTGTAAGGTTCCAGATCCTCTGGCTATATGTAAATATCAGTTTATCAGAAGATGCACAGATTGAATAAATCACACCTGTCTGAGGCTGCCCAGAAAAACCTGGTGACTTATCTGTGTACCTCTAACCTATATGCTTTATGCTTCTGCTCTTGCTTTGGCAGGAACAACCACACTGGGCAGTCACAGGTACCAAATCCCAACAAATAAATGCTCCTGTGTTGCCAGACAGTGCTTTAAGCACTGCAGAGGGGTGGCTTTAGTTTCCTGCTCCACAAGCAGCCGCTGGGTCTGCTGTGACTCTTTGTGTTAAAAAGTGAAGCCACTCTGATCCCTTAGTCCCTGGATGCTGGAGGAAGCATGTTTTATGATTTCCAGCAGCTAAACCAGGTTGTATGGGATGTAGTGTTTCTTTCTTTATATTAGTTGATTTATTTTACTCCCTTTGCCTTCTATCTTTTGTTTTTTAACAAAAGCTGGGGTGCTAACAGAATCAGAGAATAACTGTGAGAGGGGCTCCAAAAACACCCCACAACGAATGTGAATACAGTATGACACTGATTGCTGGTAGCCCTAGCTTGCAGCTGAAATGCAGCCTGCAACTCTGTGCACAGAGCTTTTTAGGGAAAGATGAGACTATTCCCTTAATGTGAGAAGTAGGTAAGAATCACAGTGCTGTCCTGTCCTGCACCTGAAACTCTTATCAGCAGTGCCACAACCTGCCACTGAAACACCGAGGTAAGGACATCACTGCAAATGAAAATCCTAATAAAGCTTCGGGTATATCCTCACCAATAAACAGAATTATTCTTTTAAATTTATGGCACAGAATTCTCTTTTAAGATGTGAATGATTTGATGACACCAAAATAACCTGTGTGGAGTTCAAGTGCTTGAAAAGGAAAATTAGGAGAAAAAAAACAAAACTAAGCTGATTATAAGCCAATAAAATAAATGTCCTGAATTCTAACAGGGGGAGAGAAATGATGAGTTTATATAAATTCCCCTCTGTCTACTGAAATGGCAATTGCTGATGTAATTTTGAAATATTTAACATAATTATTGCTTCAGAAGCTTGGAATCAGGTTCCCATTTTCTCTACTAGCAACTTGGCTTTCAACTGCTTCTAATTAATCTTAAATATAATTTGCATGGTAAGTCATACTTACATTACCAAAACAGTCTAAAAGGGTCTTACTCTACACAAATGTCCCTCAGTACATGTTATTATGAAAGCAATTAATTTAACTGGGATTAGTTACATATTTTAATGCCTTGATCTCTACAATAATCCTCTTTAAGACTTTTGTCTCAGTAAAATGAATATAACAAAGACAAACTTTGCCCAATTTGTGAAAACTAAGCTCAGTCTGTGTTGGGGCCATCTGAAGGACCAGAGCATTAGCATCTCTAAGTAATTTTGTGCCTAGCAGGCAGCCGTAAATAGATCTTCATTTAAGCCTTCCAAGAAGCAGCTCTTCAGTAGGACAAGGTGGAAAATATTTATAACTTTTCAAAATGATATTTAAGCCATTAAGAGAGTTTTAAATAATTAAATACTGATAAATACTTCTAAACACTTTACTGCCAATTAGCATAAAAGGTAGCTGAGTCTTTCCCAATACCACAACCACGACCACCTGAAAGAAACCTGCTGTTTTCCTGTACAGTAATGGGAGATTGATATTAGATAGCTCCTTGCAGGCAGGCAAATTAAGCTGCTATTTATTTTGTTTTTGGCTGCTCATGGAATTGAAACTATTACTGAAAGTACTGACACAGTCTAAGTGTTGGCTTTAGGAGGAGGTACCTGATTTGCAGGCACAGTGAGGACGTGTGGCTGTACCACATAATCCCATTCAGCCCTGGCTGGAAAAAGCAGAGTTACCTGAGAAGCTCCTGAGCAGGGCTGACTGGTCCCAGCAGCTGGGTTCAGTCTGTTTTAGCACACAGCAGTGTCTCTTTGTGCCAGCCAGCTTGAACTTTTACAGTGCTGTTGGAGGTGCCCTGCAGGTGTCCCTGGCTGGGACGGTGCTGGGGCTGGCCCTGCTCCCCCTGGGCAGCAATGTGTGCTCCCAAAAGCCTCTCCAGGAACAGCACAGTGACCCTAGGGTGAGGACTGAGGTCAAAAACAGAGGTCTAGCAGTAGTGTGACCTCTGAATGCCAGCAGGAGAGCAGCAGCAGTGCTGCAGCTGCTGTTGAAAAGCTGAAGTTTGAGCGCTGCTGCTCAGGGGAAGCCTCTGGTCTCTCACCTGTACAGCTCCTCAGTGGCACCCACAGCCTCAAGGCTCGATTGAAGATGTTGCTTCTTTCAGTGTGTTCCCTGTCCACATTAAGACCTCATGGACTTTCTCACTCAGGAACAAAGACAGAAGAGCTGGAGTGTGAATACTGGAAGATGTATCACAGATTACATGCTGTAATGGACACCTGGCTAAATCCCTACAGAGGATTACAACTTGTGTTTTCAAACCGGTGCAGGCTGCTGAGGTCAAGCTGGCCAAGATTTTAAGAAGAACCAAAATAAATTTTCAAGAAGTGAGTCACTGCAACTGATTTTTATACCACTGCCACGAGGTAATTAGATCAGGTGCACAAGACAAGAAATAAATACAGCCTCACTTATGTCTGGAGTGCGGCTGTGTGGTAAATTACTACATTCAAGTCACACTTTTGGAAATAATAGAGTATTTCTCTTTTCCTTTTCAAAAGATCATTACAATTAATTCACCTGGTGCATGTTGTACATTGGAGGTGATTAATTAGACAGTAATAGCTAACAGCAGCAATTGTCCTAATGCTTACATTTTGCATGTGGTTTCTAACCAGGAATTACTTGTTTACCATGACAGAGCCAGATTATGGAGCCATTAACTGTGAGATACTACTTATGAGGTGTTGCTCTGCTAAGGGCAAACAGTCAGTGAGGAGAAGGATTGGCAAGCCCCAGGATCTGGTCCATGATAATTGATGTTATCAAAGCCACTACATCCATTAGCTGGTTTGAGAACATCTTGGTCAATGTCTGCA